AATTGCAACACTTTTGGGACGCACAATACTTCAACTGCACCCAAATAATGATTTAACAGGCTCCTCTGTTTTTCTGCTAGTCGCAACTTGACGAGTCTACCAGCAAGAAAATGCGATGCCCCCTTCACTGAGGTCTAGAGGCCCTCTGTGTCATTACTGCAATCGCTGGTCGAACAGTAAACATAAGGGTAGCCGTCATTTTCGGTGCGAGAATTGTCTAGCTGAGAACTTTCTGGATGAGGTGCGTACTATCATTGAACCACTCCGAGTTTAATGCTGACTTTGCGCATGTAGCATGGCGGAGTCCTTGATGTTCCGCCAGAGGAGATCTCATCCCCTCAGCCATTAACACGGCCCTTCGCGAAAGTCTTGCCCAGCGATCAACGCGTCGATGTAACCGCCACGTTCTGCTCGACCTGCCTCAAGAATCAGCACATTCTGACCGAGACTCTTGCCAACTATCTCCCTCCACCTGAAGATCCAACCTACGATCAGTATGAAGCTTCCTATCCCGAGTTTCGACGAAGACTTGAAGGACGATATCCTCCCCTTTGCGTGCGTTGTGAACCAGAAGCACGTCGGCGGATTCAGCAAGCAGGTTATACAGCAAAGTCCGATCACTTAAGACGCCTAATGGAACGCTCTCGGGTTAGAAGAATCCACAGCCAATGGGGTTGGAGGAGCTTGGTCGTGACTTTAGGTGGATGTTTTTTCTGGATGAGCATTTTGGGACAGCTGGCTTGGAACCTTATCAGCATCTTGGAAGATCCAAAACCGAACAGCCTTCAGACAACGCCGAGGACGGTCTTTACGTCGCTCCATTGTGCTGCTCAACTCTTCACAGACTTGAAGCCACAATCAGGATGTGCCGCAGCATTCGCTCCGCTTAGCTTCAGTGCCATCGTACTTGGGTTCCTGTCTAGCTGGTGGAATCCGAGATGGCGGCATAAACTGCAAGGGCAAGAAGGACGACTGGTTGGACTACAAGAATACTACAGGATGAATACTGTGGTGCTATTAGCAAGACTTGGCTTCTGGACCTGGGCACGGTGTTCTACCGCACTCTCTTCGACACATCACGGCCAGCAGGTCATTCATTCCGTCGTGATGTTTATGACCCTGGTTTTCACAATCTACGCCATGACGAGAGTGAATATCGATACAACTCCATTGGTATCCTGGCAAGACAGTTCGGTACAACTGTTATCCCAAGAACAAAGTGATTCTTCTGTTGCCTCTGCCATTGCGCATCCTCCATTTCCCGCACGTCTCAATCGACCAGAAGCATCACATGCGCAGTCGTTTCCAATAGGTAGCCTGGCACAAGAGCCAAAACGTCAGATCTGGCAAGCACCTACTCCTCCGCCAGATGACGCTGATCTAATGGAATGGGAGCCATCGCAAAGTTTCCAGCCGAATCCTCGCCGCCCAAAAGTCGACGCTCCTCCTGGTCCATCACCCTTTCATGGAGCTTTGCCTGCCATCCCGACCAATAGGTTGCTTCATCCTCAGCCACGGAGGCAGCCTGCCCAGAAAGAAGCTATTGGTCTCCCACCAGGCTTTTTCGATAAAAGAGATCGTCTCAAGGAGACGGAGCGGCCTGCATCCCTACCGGCAATGGCTCAACCTAAGTTTTTTTCACAAGGAGATCGCGAGGCTGACACTGGTCTCGAGAACATTTTCGACGCTGTTTTCTCCTTACGCGATGCACCCCTCTTCCCAAGAGCGTCCACCGAACAAGATGTACCAGCGCAAGCGGACCAACAGTACCAGCACCCGTTTGATACTCCTCTCAGCGCTCCAGATAGGCCGTCGTACACCTCGATGAGGTTGAATGCTATCCACATGGCAAAGCTGGCTGTCTTTGCTACAAGTTTCGTTGTCTTGTATGCTCCTCGGCAGCTTCAACTAGACTTGCCTTTTCTGGAGCTTGGTGTTATTTGCATTGCAGGCTCAGCAGCTTTGTGGCTATCGCTTCTAGCGAGTAGAAGATCATCTTCTTCACTAGATGGAAGCGATCTCATTTGGTCTGCAGCGTCAGCTCTCATTGCAGCATTTGTCGTATTTCAACAATGGAACATCCCCAAAGAAGGACTTGAGCAAAGCGGTGATCGAGTGGCAATGATGTTCTTGTTTGTCTGCAGTTGCTGGGAGATGTCTCGGATCTTTGACTGGAAACCAATGAAGTCGACCCGAAATCCCCGTGAACTTCAGCAACCGAGCCTGCAGCACGAGGTTGAACCGTGGCATCCCGCAGCTCCCACTTCCGGGTTCCAGCCGCAGAGTCCACTTTCAAATGAGGAGAATCGGCAGTCATCAGTGTCTGAAACTCAGTCTTCGGTGTTGCAGGATGCTAGTTGGCAACCTAAACCATTTTCCCCTTTCAGACCTACACCATCCTTGCAAGCAACAGAACAAAGACCTCTTTTCAGAAGCAGAAGCGACAGCGCAGACTCGGCAATATCTCAAAGCTCAACAACCACCACCGATACGGCTACCACAGCAGGATGGAAGACCCCGAATTTTCGAGCGCAGCATTCCATTGGCAATTTAGAGCAGAGCCCAGGCTTCAATCTCCGAAGCCTAGTACTAGAAGACAGAGTATCGACGCCGAGCAGGCGAGAGCAAAAAAGTTTCGGAACAAGGAACCGGAGCAGATTTTAATCGAGATCCTTGCATGAGTATGCTCGCCCACTTTATTGGCCATGACGTGGCTTTACATTACAATGCAGCTTTTAATGGAGTCGGGCAGTTGTGGACAGGGACTTTGGGGAGAGATGAGCACACCATATACAACGGCATAGGGTGGATTTGGGTATACGATGTTAACTGAGTCCAAGAATAGAGAAATGCAGGGCACGACCATCCGTCTGCCGTGCCTTTCATCTTTGCCTACTTTCCATTCACGTAAGCTTTTGTTTGATGAAGAATGATCGCAGATGCGATAGTTGCCAGGCACATGTAAGGCCCAGCACACCCAGTTGCACCAGAGTCCACCTAACGATCTTTGCGTTCGTGGCTTCACTCTGGTCTCGAAATTCAGCCTCACGCTCCTGCTCGGTCATAAGATTAGCCAATGTCTTGTCTTCAGCGTTGTTCACCCTAGAAACCTACCCTTTGAAAAACCTGCTCCCTCCTGATGTCCTGCAACCTAGCATTCAAATCCTTGACTTTGCCGACTATGCTCTCAATCTTATCCTTATCATCGCTTTCGATCGTGCTCGATGCACCGATGGCTAGATCCAAATACATCCTCACACCCCCAAGCACGCCTTGTCCACTGCTGAACCAACCCCCAACACTGACAGCTGCTGAACCTGAAGGCGTGAAGCATATCCGATGTAGACCGCTATCGGCGGCTGTGAACATAAACTTAGACCAATTGGCCGATGAAGTTGTAGTCTGCTTTACAACGCGATGATCGTTGTCAAATGTCTCATCGACCGTGACGAGGATTTGGAGGTCGGAGGTCGGTATGAATGCTTCTGTCGCGGAATTGAATGCTTCGGCTTTATATGAACCTATCAACTAGTCAGCAGACCGCATTATATGGAAGCGAGTCGAGTGGATAGCTATCCCTACCAACAACTAAGGTGTCTTTCGGGAGTTCCTCGTAAAAGCATCTTTGGGCAGTACCGTCCATGTAGAAGTACAGGGCTCTCACAGGTGAGAGAAGCAGGGCAAACAGGAGCACCAAACGCAGCCATGACAGGCTTTCTGCAGACCTTAGGGTGGACATCTTGTTCAGCTGTGCCTCGTTGGGGTTTGATTTCTATCAACCACCATGTATTGCGATCAGGAGAGTTGAAGCCGGGAAAACTTGCTCCTTACGCTGGCCTCGGCTAGACTGGACCAGATCCACGCTCTGGAGTACCACTCTATTTTGGAACTCGACTGAAATACTCCGTACCTTGTTGGTGATTGACTTGAGATTCTCACGCTCAGAAGGAAAAATACGCCATGTCGTTTGGTGCACCTGGAGGACGAGCTCTCAACATCAAGCCCACCCCGTATGCTCACCCCTTACCTATTACCAATCCGCGGCTCCTTGTTCAGAATTGACATCAATTGAAACTAGGCCAGAACGAGGGTCCTTCCCTCTCGACCATGACGCTGAATGCAAGCACCTCATATCCTCCTATCTGCGATGTTTGAAGAAGCCTCGACACTCCTCAGACAGTGGAAAGATACAAGCAGGTATCAATGATGAAGAATGCCGACTTATTGCCAAGGACTATCTCCAGTGCAGGATGGACAAGAATCTGATGGCGAAGGATGAGATGAAGAACCTAGGATTGGAATTTCCATCACTACCAAGAGGGGAAAACGCGAGGGAGGCAGAATCTACACGAATAAGTGAAGCAGATACATAAATTACGAATCTCTTTGATGCAATATTTCAGCGGTCCCACTCGAGGTCATGGCAAAACAAAGCCCGGCAACCTTATTTTGGACAACAGTCCGAATATGCTGCAGAGCGACGATCACTTCTTCAGCCGCACAATGGTTGTGTAGACAGAGTCACATTTCCTGACCACGCTTCTCGGACGGAGATAGTCTGGCCAGCGTGTAGGTGATGAAGATGACATATGCCAGAAGAAGCCCTGGAAATGAGGATGGGTCTTCCGCAGTCTGACGAATCCATGCTGAAAGGCGGCGCCTTTACGAATGGACACTTTTCTTTGCTATTGAAGTGCGGGTCATCTGGAATGCGCCTATGATGATATTGCACTTTCTCGAATTTTCAGATGTTTCTGAACTGGGGGCAGGTTTGGGTTACACCTACCGACAGGGCTAATGATCAGGTATGAATGAATCTGATCTCTCTAGAAGGGGTTTACCAGCAGTCTGACATGTGAATCACAGAGAGTCCACCTGGTCGTTCACGCCGCTTTTACGGATTGATGTTGGGCATGTCAGATTTCGCAACTCTAGTGCACAGCACACAAAGATAAGCCAAAGCCTTTGTTGTATCTATGTTCCGTAGATAATCCATTGTCCTTTGTTACCCTAAATGATTTCTTCTTTACTTGTTGGATCATCTGCCGCCCTTGTGTTTATGATTCCAACTACATCTACCAAACCTAGGGTTGATCAATTGAAAGAAGAACCAGCACTGCTTCGGCACAAGCAACGAAGGCGTCCAGAATGATACGAAGCCTCCCGCGCCACTCGACATGTCACCACAGTATTCAACAGGATGATCCCCGCCGCGGTCCTACTCGGCCCGTATGCTTTGCCTGTTTTCAACTCATAAAGGATCAGGCTGTCATCTCCATTGAGCGGCGACTGTTCTCAGCAATCTCTCAAGGCGACTTCTCCACTACAGAACGTTACTACACAGCGCTTGAACTGGCCTTCGCAACAGGTCGCTTCGAAGCGCTCGAACTCGCGTTATGGACTATGGCCCGTGACTGCGTTTTCGCTCATCCAATGCTCTTCATGGTCGTGGATATCGAATTTCTTGTCGTATCAACAATGCGAATGTTGCTCGATGAATCGATGTTTGAGTATACAGAGGAGGACGCTAGAGCTTTTGCGGAGGGCAGGGCCCTCACCCTTGAGATGGAGGCTACCTCTCTGAACGCACACAGGCGCCAAAGTACGGCATCTGACTCGGGTTCTATCCAGCTGCAGCTTTCTGACGGCACTCCAGACAACAATGACCTGGAGGTAAACAACTTGGTCGCTGACCTTGGAACAATGTCTGTCGATGAGGACAACACAGCGTGGTCAGGCTGACCCAGAAATGCGCGACGGAGCTAAGATATCTGGCGTCACCACCAGCGCGAACCACAAGTTTGCACATTGGGTCAAATCCAGTAGAAGGACATGGTCGTGCAGGAAAGTGTATGACACGGTAACTGCTGCATCAGTTTTTTTCCCTATCTTCGGTGAGTGTCATTTTTTTTTCTTGATCCAGCAATTGTCTACGTTCAAATTATTCATAGAGCCATTCCCACTGTAGTGTATCATTTGCACTCATTCTACTCCATACACCATCATGAGATCTGTATTTAGCTGAAGCTGCTCACATCGCTTGTATTATGTTATAGTAGGACAGAGCATGTGACTACGCTGAATTTGGTCTTTTGGTGCTGACGATCTATGTACTGACACTAAGTTCGAAATGACAGCGCTTCCAACATGAAAATTATCCTCTCTCTCTATTTCTTGCAAGCCAATTTCCCTCCAACTTCGGCTTTGCAGCCTTTGGCACAAACCTTCAAGTCCGCTGGTCAGTCACGTTTGCACGTCTCTGGCAAAGTAAAATCGTTTTCATGTAAACGAAGGAACCATTTTGGCAGGCACCAGAATTGATACTCCGGCTTCATCTGGCAACGGATCAGATAAAACAATTTTGGCCACCACTTTCCACATTTTGCTCTGTAGGCTGTTCTAGCGCATGCACTCTTCCGGTTCATACCGATCCATTAGTATTGGGATATGGCCCGTCGTTTCGAAATACAAGGCTTATGCTGTCGACTGATCGAGAAGTGGATTTATCATATGAGGTTCGAGACTTATTTACAAATTAATCATAGCATTATTTCTTTAAATAAAAATACAAGAAATAAATTAACGTGGTTCATAATCGTCCCGCGCATACAATCGTCCCGCGCATACAATCGTCCCGCGCATACAATCGTCCCGCGCATACAATCGTCCCGCGCATACAATCGTCCCGCGCATACAATCGTCCCGCGCATACAATCGTCCCGCGCATACAATCGTCCCGCGCATACAATCGTCCCGCGCATACAATCGTCCCGCGCATACAATCGTCCCGCGCATACAATCGTCCCGCGCATACAATCGTCCCGCGCATACAATCGTCCCGCGCATACAATCGTCCCGCGCATACAATCGTCCCGCGCATACAATCGTCCCGCGCATCTTTCTCTTACATCACAACCTTCTGACCATCGTACGCAGCCACAACACAGGAAAATCATTCATTCTCTATGTCACTATCTTCCTCAGATGTCTCTTCAACCTCCTGACAGGTTCATACATTGTGGTTAGGCTTGCCGCATCTTCCACATCGCTGTAAGCCTGACGACTCAGCCTGCACGATACCTCCTTCTACTGACCTTCCACTTGATCGTTGTTGTACAGTCGCTCTCTGCTTAATTAAACTACCTGCATCCTCTATAGTAAGTACACCTCTAGCTTGTATATGTGTCTCTTTAGCCCTCTAACGCTTTATAAGGGCCTGATTAGCCTTACAAAGCGTATAAACCTCTTTATACAAAAGAGTTATTTAATAAGTAATCAGCTTTATATCCTTTGCTAATTGCTTAATAGTTAAAAAAACACTACTTAAAGAGCTTCCTTAATATCTAATAATCTAATTTTGTATATATTCTAATTATAAAATAGTATTATTAGAATTATATAATATCTAAGAGACTTATAAGTTAGCTTAAAAAAAAAGAAGTCTAATTAATATTAGTATTTATAACTTAATATTAAGCTTAAATAAAATAACTTAAGAGTTATATAATATAAGACTAATACTTTAAAAGCTAGCCTTAATATTTTTAATTATTATTATATTAAAATAAGTAACTTTAAAAGTAATAAGAAACTTAATCTTAATAATATAATTAATATAAGCTTTAATAAAATCTTTAAGTTCTTTATTATATAATTATTTTAAAATACTAAAATAACTAATATCTAATAATTAAATAAGATAAGAAGAATATATAAAAAGATAAAGAGTAATAATATTCTTTTCTTTATAGAATTCTTTAAACTAAATAAATAAATAACTCTTATAATTATTTAAAATAATTATTTAATATATATTCTTTTATTATATAAAAATATATTTATTAAAGTATTTAATTTAATCTAAATAGCCTTAGCCC